ACATCGCCACACTGTCACCCTGCCACCTCGCCCCACGCCCCTCGCCACACTGCCACCCTGCCACCTGGCCCCTCGTCACAATGGCAACCGCCGCCACGATTGGACCCCCGCTCCGCCCAACGCCACCCAGACACCCTGCCATCCCGCCACTCCGTCACACCGCAAACCGGCCGCCCCTTTGCCGCCTTTGCGGCGAACACACCATTCCTCTGCCATAATGACCACGCCCCCTCCGCCGGCGGCGGCGGCGCGGCGGCGCGGCGCGGCGTCTCAAATCATCGATTTTCGCCCCCGGGCGACCGGGCCGGGCCGAGCTGGGGGCGGAGGCGGGCCGCCCATTGTCAGCGCCCTCGCCCGCGACGCGTCGCGCGCACAGATGCCTTTGTGCCGAGGACGGAAATGCCTCCGTCTCCGTGCTGTGGCCCTGCACCCCGCCGCCGTCCGACTTCACAAGCTGTTTCGGAAGACGGCGCGGCGGCCGACTAACGGAGTGCTCAGGACGCACATTGTCGGCCGAATTGCCTAAATGCGGTACATAATCGCAGCGGCTGAAGGCCGGAATGTTGGAAATGTTACAGTTCTCGGGGGCCGTTGAGTTCAGAGTAGCGGGTTTCCCCCTAATGTTTGCCACTGCCTGTGCCGACGACACTATCTTGTCGTGCCGTGCGAAGTTCTCAACCGCTTTGTCCGTGGCGCACTGAGTAGCGGACTTGGATATTGTCTAGGTCAGTATGGGGGCCGCTGTACAGTACCTGTTGTGTTCTGGCCGAGAGATGGTCCCTTTGGGCAAATACGTGAAGGAATGTGATGGAACGCTTGTGTCCTAAAAGTCTTGGTATTTCTCTGAATAAGGAAGTTACGTAATCGCAAAAAAGTACTGCAACTATAATTAACATGAGACTGAAAAGGCACGTCTTGCCGTCAGTTCTTTCTTCGTTGACAAACGGAATCGCTATGTACTAAGACATTAGGTCATGAGGTAAAGATCCCCTCGCTGAAGTTCAGCTGGCCGTTTTTGGTTATTTTCTGTAATGCCTGTAATTTTCGCAGAAATATATATATTTTACTTTATCGACTTACTACGTAAGTTGTGAAGAGGAAGTATTGCAAACGTGCCACGGAAATCGGCGAATTTTCCACAGAAAGCTCTTATTGTCGGACTCTGGTAATAAAAAAGTGGATAAATATAGCTGGTAAACGTAGTAAATTACGACCTCTAACAAGTTGCGTAGCAGTAATTTTTGCGTGAAGAACAGGTAGTTTTTAAACAATTATTTTGAGGAAAGAATTTTTTTTTTCTTTCTATCTCTTACTTAGTAGGGAGAAAGTTATGTGATACTGCGCGAAAAAACCGCGACTGTGTGTAGCCGGAATCCGTGTTTTGTGGGTCCTTGTTACCGCAAAATCGAATGACTGCAAAACATCCGTCCGTCCGTGAAGAAAGCTTGCGGCTAAACCGATCAGTCGATGTTCTCCAAAATTAATACTCCCCAACGGATCCGGCTGATGTCGCAGTTCCTTGAATATAATATGATAATATATTTTAATTTTGCAGGGTCTTTATATGAAACCCCTGGGATATTTTCAAAATTTAAAAAGACATGGTTCCATCGTTTTTTAATCTAAGAGGATGAAAATATTGAATGACTTGTAACAGGTAGACAACCTGTTCAATATGTTTAGAAAGGAGAATGGAAATTATTTGTTTAAGTAATAAACAAGCTTCTGCAAAATAATTTTACGTAGCGAGTACAGTCCGTTTCGTGTTCCGGAACATTAGTTATACGAGCGTATAAGAGATGCTTTGAAAGCGGCGAGTGGGGTTTACGGTTCGAGAGCGATTGAGCAAACACTCCGAAAGCAAACGAATGTCGGGAAGTGGGTTTAAGCCGCCGGCGGCGTCGGGAGTGTGTCGGCGGGCGAGCGGGGCTCGAAGCCGGCCCTCCCGAGTGGGTGGCGCGAGTTTAGTGGGTCGGGTCGGCGCGGCGGGTGCATAACGGCATTTCGTCTTCTCCTGTTGCAGCGCCATCATGGACTGTTTGGTGATCCCGCTGCAGGAGAAACTCGAGGACTGGAAGAAGGCCGTCATCAACCTGGATAAGGAGCACGCCAAAGGTGAGTGTGAGTGTGAGCGGTGCGTCATAGGCGTAGGCGGGCGTAGCCTGAAACACGCTCAGGAGGAGAGGGGGGGATACATTTATGGACCCCCTTTTTCGATGGAACTTTATTTATATATCACACATTTATTGTTTTTTACATATCACATGTTTTATTAGTAACTAAATAAATCGTATTTCAACAAATAAAACGAGGAACAATAAACAAATCAATGGAATTTGAACTTCGATTAGAACTTCACAATTCCCAAATACGTAATCGTGTGTTTGGTCTCGTCAGCTTCCTTAAACTGTACGATCATACTGCGATTTTTTTCAACTCTGACCCTTGGCAGGTATCAGCTGTTGAAAGTTTTATCCAAAAGGGAGCTTGAACATCAAGATAGTGACTTCACTATGGAGACATTCAAGCTCCCGATTGGATGACACTGTCAACAGCTGATATCTAAGCCTTGTAGGGGCAGAGTTGGAAAAATCGTAGTATACATATAACAACTTCGAGAAACTATATTCTTTACTCCGTTACTGCTAAACAAAAGAAACTGAGCTTACTTAAAAAACTTGTTTTGCTACATTCAACAAAACTTAATCACACGTCAGATGTACTTCATTTCACTCTTCGTCAATTCGATTCGTACCCTCCTGGCGTATTGAGTTTCCCTCTGGAGAAATCTGCCAATTCTCTCCCTACTATAACCACTTCCAAAATTGAAAGTAATTCTGTCCATGGCCTATCTACTGTAAGAGCTTCAGGTTAGGGCACTCAAACTATTTATTTATTATCCATCTCACGCACAAATAACTCGAAAATAGTTTTGTATTCACAATATTAATATATTTAATTAAGTTATGTTTCGTGAGTTGGGCAATCAATGAAGGCTATTTTTCTAATAGCAATCGGAAACTGTTAATTTAACATTTCGAATAAATGTGTTGATATTTCATTGTAGTTAATACTGGTTTCGCAGAATTACGTATGTAAATAATTAAAATTTCAAAGAATTTCATCCAATAAAATGTTTTGGTGATATTTATTATTCAAATTACGTCCGAAGAATGAATGAGTCTCGTGCCATCTCTACATGTAGCGAGAGAGAAGAGTTTCTAATTTTTCATTTTATTCGTAAATATTTGTTCCGTTTCTTTTAAATCCCCGCTCTGTGCGTGGCGACGTTGAGCAGTTAGCGCTGCCTCACGATGCCTCGCCGCGAAAATTCGGTGGGGGCTGGCGCCCGACGCGTGTCGGCGACGCGACGTCACGATGTCATCTTTCCGCCCACCTTCAGCCCCCCCCCCCTTCTCGCCGGTCGTTCAGATGCGAATTAACGAGCTGCCCGTGGGCGATGTGTAACAGGACAGAACACGCTACTTGACGATTGTGACCTCCAAGCGACGCGCTTTCTACGAAGGGTGTGTGAAAAGCAGGTTGCGCTCCCGCTGTACGATGTACGAACGTGTTCATATTGCGGTCTGCGCGTTGCAGGGGCTGCGAAACAACCCTTGATGTTATAACCAGTAGCGAAACGAAATGAGTGCGGGCCCGCCCGCAAAACATTTATATCCGGGCACTCTCTATAAAAGTGTAAAGCTAATGCGAGTAGTGTTATTACCTTAAATAATAAAAATATCCTCTAAAATCGGGCCTTTTTTTACCCGGGCCCACCCGCATTGCGGGTCTAACGGGCTCGAACGTTACGCCACTGAATATAAAATTCTTAGCAATTGTGTAGTTTCGCTTTCTCATTTTTTCACAGTTTAAAATAGCATTCATTTCTGAATCTATTTATTTATATCTTATTAATCGCGATGTCAGAAATAACACAAATATTTCAAGATTTGGCAGGAATGAAACAATTCCTCACACTACAACTAGTTATCGCGTGATTAATTAAATTACTAAAGAAAACTATAGCGGTCCTGCAACAGCACACACTTTCTGGCATTACTTGTAACTTTTGCTAGTTTCAAAAATTCAGAAATATCAACGAAAATCAGTCCTATGCCGTTTTTACGAACGTTTGTAGGGATAAATGAATCATCTCAGAATGTAGATAGATGGCTTATAAATGTTGATTAAAGATCATGCCATTAAAATATTCTCCAAGTAGATAGACTGATAGGGACCAAATTTAATCTTATTTAGTGACCTTAAAGTACATTACTGCGAACATGAATGAAAAAGTTCCATTGTTCATAGCTGCATACTATTTGTTTTACTTAACGAATTCTAATGATTTGAATTATCCCCCCTCTTTCTGATTTAAACGCTAGAACTCATCGACATCAAATTGATTTAGCATTACGCCCCCATGATTCGACTGATAAGAGTTCCTGCCTGCTCCCCCTCGAGATTCGAGCACAGCCTTGGAACGAAACCAAATCGAGCAGACAGGAGTCGATTCGCGAGACCCGGTGCTTTTAACGAACGCGCTCGCTGTCCCCGTCCCCGAGATTCTTGAATTCCGTTCCGGCGTCCGCACCCGCATTTCGTTCGCTCCACTTCCGTTCACGAATTGCCGCGGCGGAGGCGGAGGCTGAAGGTGAAATCTATTCCTCAAACTCAGCGAAGCGGATTTTCCGCAAATGCTGTCAAAATTGCAATCGTTGGCGCTACCCTGTGATATTGGCAGATCGATTTGCGTTTTCTGTGCACGCGTTAATTCTCTTCTTATTAATAAAGATTTCTGATTCGAAAATAGTAGTTTGGTGGAGAGTTGATTGAAGTATACTGGAGATGAACAAATATATTGAAATAAGTGACACTTTAAATTATAGCCGTGAGGAAAATCATTTGGATTGCATTTTTTTCTCGACGTTTTCCTTTTCACTATTTACATACACACGAAAGAACCGTAGATGAGCCACACGGAATGACGTGGATGGCAATGACCTCGTAATTGGTGTGAATTCAATCTCGACCTAGCAGACAATGACCTGGGAAAAGATATCACGCACTTACCTTATTCTTTTTTCCCTTTCAGTTTCTTAGCAGAAGAATCTCTTCTTGTGGAAAGAACGGCTTTTGGTATTTATTAGATAAATTGAAAATGAGAGTGTGAGCCGTTTGTCAGGCTAATGGGTGAACTACTCTCGTAACTTTCGTTACGGCTTTTAATTCAAACATCTGGAGTAAGTCTTCTAAGACTCGGTCAAAGAACAATATAGAACCCATCTATATTCACCCGAATACGAGGTTATTAAATACTTTAATATTATATTATAATATTAAAATATTTATATATTGTTCGTTGACTGATGTGCTGAGAAAGACTAAAACTAGATATTTGAATTGAAACAATATAACCCACCTAGATCACCAATAAGATATTATAATATAATGTAATATATTTATAATATAAATCAGAAGCGTAAAGATAGATATGGATAGATGAGTTCACACAATAGCGGCTGATACTCTAATAATAAAATTCAAGTTGGACTCTTTCATGAGTGTGACAATTTAAGAGACATGAAAAATTCAAGGCTTAATTATTTTTAAATTCCAGTATTAATGAGAGATTGCCACGTTGCTTGAGGCAGTATAGTTATTTTCTTTTGTGATATTTTAGATGATCATTAATTTTATTTCCACTAAATTCACTGTTACCCCCCCCCCCCTGCGCCGTTTTGTGGTTCAACTTATGGTTGTTCACTTACTCCATTTTTGCTAGGAGATCCACTGAGGATTGGAACATTGTATTTCCCGAAAGTATACTATGGAAAATTGTTAATAAAATTATTAAAACTTTTGTGGAGATTATTTCCTTTACAATACCATAATTATTTTTAATTTGGTGCTTTGTTCTGAAGTAACATTTCTTGTCTGTGAATTGTCTGTTTAATTTAACGCACCTGAGGGCTCGTAAGGATTGTAAACAGAGTCGTTTCCTGGCGAAGGTGAGTGGCCGGTTCTACAATAGGTCGCTCCTCTTGGTTGAGCAAACGCACTTGGTGTTTCAGTCCGCGGTGGAATGGCGTAGGGAGCTCTCGATAGCTGGGCCAACAAAGCATTGCCCGCTGTGTGTTTTTCTCTGGTGACCAGTTTGCCAGCATTCTTTTTAACCGGCTAGTCGCGAGCAAGCCTTGTTTTTAGGTTTAACGTTTGGTAAATGTGCAGACTTCTTCCTGAAACCTCGTGCGTGCCTTGGATAGATTCTCAACTTCGTCGGACCGAGTTTAACGAAGGATTTTGTTGCTGTGTAATTAATGACGTCCTCTACAAGTAAATTTGTATTAGTTGTAGTCATAGGTATTCCAGCAAATGCTAATCGCAAATTTTGCTCTGTCTTTGCTGTCATGTTGGTATAATGTATGGGGGGTTTAACTTCGTTTCTTCTTTTTTCAAATACCCATTTACACCCATTCAGATTTGTATAAATGAAAATTGCAAATCGTCAGTAGTAATGGCTTAGAGTTGAAAATGAGTAACACCCGATTCGTTTTACTATTTTAATTTTAGACTCAGTGAGAGCTCCTGCGATTAGGAGAGAGAGCTAGGAACTATGCCCCATGTCCAGGTCCAGATTCTCCCTGCGACCTTCTGCGCTGAGAGGAAACGCTCTTATAGCCTCGGTCAATTAGAAGAGCAAAAATAAAGGGTGTATGTGTCAAATACATATTGGTGTCCCATTAAAGGCAGAGAAAAACAAGTCTTCCACTAATTCTCGATCCCTTTCAGTACACTCTAGCACAATAAATATATAAATTGTCCATTGTACTTCGTAATTCCGATTCTTTGTCACTGCGCACATCTTACAAGGTTTCAGGCAACAACATAAGCTGAATGTTACGTGTTCGTCAAAAATGTAAATACCGTCATAGATTGAAATTCGATATTTTAAAAATAAAAATAAAACAAATTTTATTAAATACACATTTGGAAGGGGGATTAGAAGGAATTTAAAACAGCTTGATGGCGTGATAAAAAAAATACGTGTGGTATTCTTTGCTTTTTATATTTTCGATGTGCTATTTGAATATTGTGAATATGTTTTGTCAGTCGTTAATGAAAAAGTATCGCAATTTTTAAACGAAGTTTGTTTGTGTTTTCCCCGCAGCCCTCCAGTCGCACGTCTTAAAATGTCATTTATTATATGTTATGTCTGTATTCCCACTGAAATAACCCTATCTACACCCGAATTCGATAGCCCTTTTTCCGCTCCACACCGCTGTGTTTGCCGTACGAAAAACGATTAAGAATCAGTTTTAGAGGAATTTTTAGACAAGCCTATTTACGAAAAAAATGTGTATTTTTGTAATCTTAATTCGAAAACCCAATTTAAAAAAAAAAAGTTTTTTTTTTTCTTCAATTTTGTAAGACATTTTATTATCTTCAAATCGTGTAAGGTTACTCAACATAAAACGCATAGGAAACTGTATATTTGCGAAAAGCTATTTTTTCGTGACCTTCTGATTTCTAATATTTAAGGAACTCTCACGAGATATACGTCGAACTTTTCACCCCTTTTAAGAAACAAGGCAAAGGTCTCAGCGAAAATTCAGCTGAAGGGGATTTCTTCCGCGGATAAGGATTTTTTTTCGTGTCATTTAGCCGCGCCGAGAGAAACAGGCAGCGCGCTCAGCGGGGGGCGGACTGTCTCAGGAGCTCCTGTCGCACGGCGATAACTACCCAAGACTCGCGACGTAGGCCTTTCCGGAAGGCGGGTGAAATGCTTTGATTTGTAAAACAGGGTTTGTTTAGTTTCTGGCCTTTTTGCGGTAATGTTTTTATTTGTTTCCTTTCGCATGTTTTCTTTGAATTTTTTTCACCCTTTCTGTGCCATGTAGGGGACCAGAATCAAACCTGGCTGGCTCAAATTATCACAGCGAGATAGCTTTGAAATTTTTGTATTCATTGATACATTTGTTCAGTTAACTTCACTATCAACACTGACAAATGATGATCTAAATTATCTCATTTAATTGTTAAAAAAAAGAATTCCTTGAGAATCGTTTTTATTAAAGAGCTAGTTCATATCGTCAAAAAATTTACATTTTATAGTGTTAAATCATTTTTATTTGTAATTTAATTATTATATTTCTGATAAATATCACCACATCATGAGAACTAGCAGTTAGAAATAAAGTCCTTTTATTATGATTGGTATTTAGTCTTTATTATATAAAGGAGTAACTTCAAAACAATTATAACTGTTATGTAGTAGTCAAATTGTGTACTAACTTCTTTTGTTGTTACCTAATTTGTTTAATTTTTAATTGTGTATTTTACAGAATACAAACGAGCCAGAGCAGAATTAAAGAAACGCTCTACAGACACATTGCGTTTGCAGAAGAAGGCGCGCAAAGGAAAGAGTGGAGAATTGCAACGTCGTGTTGAAAGTTCACTGCAAGATGTAACAGAGCGTCGTCAGTTGCTTGAAGAGACAGAGAAACAGGCTGTACGTGCTGCCCTCATTGAAGAGCGTTCGCGGTTTTGCTTGTTGGTGGCTTTTCTGAAGCCAGTAGTGGTGAGTGACTGTTTACTTTTAATTACTACAAAGAAAAAAAATATCCAAAACAATCTTACATTCTTTTTATAAACATTTCAGTTGATTTTTTGTTAATAATTGGTTTTAACATGATCAAAATTGTGATTTTCTGCTTTTCAACTTAAAAAATTTAAACAAAATAAAGTGTGTCTTTTTAAATTCTTAAGTAGGAACTATCCCACCATTTTCAAATATTTTTGAAGTTTAGATTTGTCTTTAAGAAAGATTTCATCTAGCATAACAATGTAATTTTTATGGCAACTAATTTTTTGAATTTGTGCGATTTATTTATTTATTTATTTATTTATTATAATGTCCCAGGACGAAGAAGTGGCAATGTTGTCAGAATTGTCACATTTGCAAGAAGTAGTTGATCAAATTCAAAAACATACAGCTGACCCATATTCTCTGCCACCAGCCAGTGAACAGGTAAGTCGGTTTTCAAATATCTTTTTGAGCATGTGAACTTGTGTGTTAGGAGATGTAAAAGAAAAGAGTAAATTGAAAAATTTTCCTTAAAATCTTTAAAAAATATCTCTTCTAAAAACATACTCCTGATGAACTGTGATGTCCCAAAGTAATATTTTCCAATCTATAAACAGTAAAAATGAGAACTAGTTTCCATGCACAAGTGCTAAAAAATATTATTTAAAAGCTTCCATATTCTCAAAATCAATCTTCTTGTTAATGTAAAACTGAACATTTTCAAAATATTGAAAGGCTACACTTATCCAATGCAATGATGAAAGACACTCACAAGTATTTCTTGTGTTGTTTTTGAAGGTGATTGCAGATCTGAAAGGGACAGAAAGCAGCTGGTCATTCCAGACTCCTCCGAGCAGTCCTAGTTCACTGGGCTCTCGCAAATCCAGCATGTGCAGCATCAGTTCTCTCAACAGTTCTTCCAGTGGCAGCACCAAATCACACCATTCGCCCAACCATCACTACTGGCATCGCTCCCTATCTCAGGTAGCTGGTAACAAGGCCTTGATGACCTTAGGAAGGCATGGCATGGTAATGCATTTTGTTGTATTTTTTTCTTTTTTCTATCTTTTCCCCTCTCATTGCTCTGTTCATGTATTGCTACTTTTATTTTTATCTTTGCATTGACCCTATTTCACTGTGATTATTTATGCATTAGAATGGAAATGTTAATTTTCTCACTATGTTGTAAATGTAGTAATTTGTAATTTTGTTATGTGCTTTTTTTTTTTTTCTTTCAAGTAAAGGTTGATTTTATTTTTTAAAGCCAATGTCAATACTAATTTATTTTTATTATCTTCGTAATTCCTCTCGACTGTTGCCTTGCTTTCTTTCATTACTTTTTATTTTTATTTTTGTTTATTCATTTTTGATGTGATAGCAGTGTCTGTGTTGTTTGTCTGTGTAGCAGCCCCTGCCAGCGGGCATATTGCGCCTTCCAAGTGTCTCTTCTCAGGACTCGGGCTTCACTTCCCAGGACACGCTGTTCCCTCGTCCGCCCTCTGTGCCCTGTGTACAGGTACACTTGAGCCTGTAATCTCCCCCAAGCTTCATAGCTGCGTAGATGTGGAGCTGATAACATTAACTACATTTGCTGATATGATTAGCAAAAGAAAATCTCTCCAATGTTGTTGATCTTACCCTTATACAATTTTCTTTAGCATTTACTTCATTTTTTTTTTAATTTCCTTGTTTTTATTTTTATTTTTTCAATTTAATTTATTATTAAATTATGTTATAATTTGAAAATAATTTGAACATTTGTATAATTTTCAAAATTTTAATTTATCAGCTAGCACTATGCACTTTATTTTCAATTTTTAATTTTTTTATGCCCTGTTAGCACAGAGCAGTCTTATTTGCTTTGAGTTATCTAAAGATAATGTTTGAAATACAGGTGTCCAACATGTCAGAGCCTAGCAGCAACAGTGGCAGTAACTCAAGCACTCCGTCAACTCCATACACAGGAACTACTACAGCTGTGACTTTGCCAAATACTACAGCTACTTGGCCAAATTTGCAAGAAACTCTGCAGTTTGAACGTGCTGCAACTGCCATCATGAGCGAACGCCCACATACCATCTCTTCTGGTAAGTTAATTTTAATTAATTTCTGCATTTGCCAAAATAAATGCTTGTATTTACCAAAGAAAGTCCAGCCCTGAAGAATTGTTGTTTGATATTACTACTAGCTTGTTGTACATTTGCTTTCCGTTAGTAATTTTGTGATCCTCAATTTTTGGTGATGGTTAGTCATGTGTAATTATGATTCCTTAATATCATATTTTGGGGTAAAATTTATCCAGAATTTTATCTTTTATTTTTTGTCAGTTTGGTTTCATCGTTAATTATTGCTTAGGAAACTAAAAATTGAGAATCACCAAATTTATGTGTATATAATTGCACCATGCTTCGTACCAGCTTGTTCTATTGTACTATACAATATTAAACTCTTACTGTAACTTCTCTTGTCTCCTTCAGCTTATGAGCGTGGTCATCAGAGGCCTGCCTTAACTGTGTATACTTTCCAAGCTCCTGATGCTAGCCACTCCCAACCGGCAAGCCCAGTGTCTGGCAATGTTGCTGCTGCAGCTGCAGCTGCTGCCGCTGCAGCTGCTGAAAATAATAACAACTCGAACTCGTCAACCATTCCTCGTACTGCTGCACAAGTTGCCGCAAAGCCACAACCTATCTATGCTCGACCTCCTATTCCCCAGCGTTGTTCTTCCCTTGAGAGACCATCTGTTCCTTCCAAGTCTCCCACAAATGTCAAGTCAGTCCTGCCAATTCGACAGCCTGCTGCCCAGTGTGCTAAGAGTGACCCTTCCAAGACCATCACTCATGTGCCACCTCACATTCATCTAGGAAAAGGTAGTTATTTCTTGTTTGCTTTTCTTTTTTCCATAAATATTTCTGGTGTTAGCATTTTAGTGTGTTTGAAATTGTCTCAGAATTTTGTATTTCCTCAAGATGTAGAGAACTGTTTTTTAACTTACAATTATACATGTGTATATATGTACAGATAGGTATCTTCTTCATGAAGGGGAAGGTCTTCCTTACAAAACTGTGAAGTGAAATTTTGAAATTATTGATTATAAATGTAATGTTTCTTTCCTACTTCTTTTTATAAATCAAACAAATACATATCCCAATTATGAAAATCAGCTTTACATGCAAAGTATTGTAATGCTGCTGAAAAAAACTGTCATTTAAGGGGGAGGGACTGTTTGAGTAACGATATGTGTGTTAAGAATTCATTCATTATTAACGGAACTCTGGCACCACGATGTACGAAAATGCCTGTTTCAAAGGTAGTTGAAATTGCAAACTGTGATTAACCCTTATCTGCCCGTTTTATTTAAATTCCTTAAACGATTGTATAATTAAAAATAAAAAATTAAATATTTTTTCTCAATACTTTAAAATGCATATGCTGACACTTTTTTGGATGTTATATTAAAAAACATGAAGTTCTAATTGCGATACTGCAACATTTTAAGGAGAAAGTTTGATCTTCAGTTGTATGCAGCATGCCCACATAGGCACGCTAAGCAGATAATGGTTAATAGGCCATCAGAAAATTGCACTTTGTGGAAATTGATCATGCATTCAACCAATTTTTTGTTTTAAGTGTTACATCTTGTTCTAATGCTTGAATTCTCTGTTAGTAACATATTGTTTGAATCTGACAACCTTATTTATATTTTTAATAAATTGCTCTTTTTTTTATTATTATTATTATTATTTTTTTTTATTTTGCTGAACGTGTCATTCAGAAGCCACTGATCAATTCCACACTTGTTGACAATGAAGAAATTAAGTTCACAACTTGTAGAAAATTCAGAATTTTTAATTACAAAATAATTTGTATTGAATTACAGTGCAATATTAGAATGTCATTAAGTATAATTATGACAATTTGAAACTGTAATACAAAGTAGGAAAATTTTCTATGAAAAATTATTCATTAGGAATCTTAATGATTTGGAGTTAGAAAACTTGCTCACTCAAAACATTTGGATTGTGTTCCAAAGCTACCTATGCTCAATCTAATTATCAGTGTATTAAATATCGTTGTAAAGTTTATTATTTACTTCATTAAATATGAGTAATTGGGGATATATACACTTTAAGAATCTCATTATGTCCAGGTTCTTTTGCTAAGTGTCCAATTCCCCAAGAAGACATTCTAATTGATGGTATTCGATGTTGGCAGAAAATCTGTTTTTTTGTTGTTATCTTAACTTGAAAAATGACACACTCAGAAAATACTGTTTTTGGATTATGCAAGGCTTCTATGTTTCCAAAAAATGCCATACATTATCCATCAAATTGACTCTTCTGCTATCAATTGTCTTATAGGTTGTAGTAGAATTCTCCAAAGGTTTTGTAGACACATTCTTCTCGTTTCGTATTGGTCAAGCTAATCAATCAGTGTGAACATGTTGCTAGTTTTCCTTCCCTAATTTTTCAATGACATTGAAGTCCATTTTTAGATGTGTAGCTGTACCACAATATCAGGAATTTTTAAGTCTGTTATTTCAGCTTTTATTCAAGAGCTGTGAATCAACCAATGCTCAAAACAGTTTTATTTTTTCCATACTGGCCTGCACTTGGTTTGGCAGAAATTTAAAAGGAGATAGTCACATTTTCCTCTGAAGAATCACTGAAATGATTTCTATTAAAGTACATCCATATACTTAAAAAACAAAGTAAAGAGTTGCTTACTTTGACAGTTAAAAGTAGGAGCTCTTGTGAGCTTACAAATTATATATTAGTAAAATTGAAAAAATTGAAGTTGATTGAGCTGTCTTCGGAGTGACACACATAATTTAATGTTGTCACAACAAGTGTAATGAGACATTACAACTTGTAATGTGTTTGTGATTTACAAATAAGAAGTAATACATGCAATTTTGGGTTGTATGATTTGTAACAAATTCAAATTGTAAGTAAACAAGTTGTATACTGAATTTTCTCTAATAATATAACCTTTTAATTTTGAAAAAGCTTCCGGAGAATTTTTTATATTTTTAACAAATTCTTACTATTTAGTCAAAATAAAATCACAAATTGTCTTATTATCCAGGATTATTTTTTGATAGTCTATCTGTTTTTTCTTATTCCTTATAAAAATAAGTCATAATCATTTGTGTCACTACCATCTTTATCTTAGAATATTTCATTGTTTCTTTAGTGCTGGACCTCCCCCATTTCAGAATGTCATTTAACTTTTTAGATCCCCTGAAAGTGTTGAGCATTTAATTACATCTTGGTCTTTCATCTGATGCCACCTAAGAACGTTCTGTTCTGTATCACCAGATTTTCTTCCTTTCATGCTTTTGTTCATGATCTTTGATTCTTTAATAATGATTAAATTATTATTGTTATGTTTGTGTGGTTAAGTTGTAAAGTATAAATTTTTCCATTTCATTATTCATTTCTCTTACCAAATGCAGATTTGCACACATAAAGCATCAAACTGATAGTGGGTGCAGCCTTGTTGATTATGTGTCAAACAAGCCATGAAAAAAATAAAATATCATCAAGAATTTTGTTTATTATCACACCATGTTTCACGTACTATATCATTTTCGCATTCTTTCTCCATTAGGCCCAGCAAATCCATGCTAAATGCCAAAAAAATATCTGTGAATATTACACATTATAGATACGTGTGTACTTTATTGACTCGATAGTATTGTTATGTCAGCTTTGAGTTTCTTGACACAGAAAGGCAAAGCGAAAACAGATCCCAACCAACTTGTTGCAATTTGTGAATATAAGATGAAGTATTTTTCAAGAAAGATATTTTAGAAAAAATCCTCGTCTTGTATTCAGGTGGCCACTGTAAATCATTTTGCACTAATATGTATGAATTCTTTAGGTATTTTAAGTTCTGAAAAAATGTCTTTCTTAGAGAATCAATTATATAAATCCATCATAAACATTGTATCTATCAAGTCTTTTTGCATGGAGACAAATGAAACTTACTTCGTGGCAAACATTCAAGGATTTAGGGAATCTTTCTTTTCATAATTTTTTTTAACTTTATAATGATGAAGCTGATTCTATTAAATGCTTTTTATAATTAAAACTGATATAAAATTTTACATTTATTTTTGTTTGTATTGTCTTGGCCCTGAAATATTGTTAACATATCAATATTGTATTCATGCCCTTAAACTCATTTGTGTTTCATTCATTAATATAATTTTGTTCCTCAATTTTTAGATTCTCCTCAACCAATGTATGTTAACATGCATGAACTTGCCAGCTTGGCTGCTAGCAAAGCACAGGAAATGATATTCCCTCCACCTCCACCGGAACTTGCTGTAGCTCCTGCCGAGAATCCAGAAAAAGTAAGTAGTTGTTAGTTGTAATCTTCTTCTGACCTTCATGAATTCTTGAAGGTCAGAATGTGAAATAAAATGGAAAGTAAATATTTTATGCCGGAATACAACAGACTGGTCATCATGTTTAGATTTTTCAGAAATGTTGATTCTATAACATTATAGCATAGCATATAACATAGGCATGTATAAAATGAGGCGAGATGGAATACAAATCAACCTTCGTCTCTTGGGACCAGTAATGGAATAACAAGGGGAATGAAGTCTGTCAAGATGAAGTAGTGGGGAGTAGAAACTGCTTCCAATGAGATGCCACTATTGCACAACATGTGTAAATTTTTTTTCAAATGAAGATGTCAAGCAAGTTAAAATAATATTTGGAACACTTCACTCACAATTCAAAGAATCAACTATTTGTGCAAAAATAATCTAATGGAGAGAGTTCATAGAAGAGATGCCCCACAAAACAAATCATGTGTGCCAGCCAAAAACACAGAACAACCCCAGAAAAGCTCGTGATGGGTTAGCACAAGGAGATAGTGCATCTTGTATCAATGTCACCGTACATGTGGAATTACTAAATGCATCTAAACTGGGCTGAATGCTTGGAAATAATCCCAGTTCACTTCTCACTATTTGGGAACTTCTGGCATCAACACTCAAAAGATATTAGCAAGTGTGTTTATTATTTGTGTGCAAGAATAACATTAATGGTCTGTGAACTGTGTGCACATGAGAAGTGGTTGATAGATGACAAATTCAATCAAGCATTATTAAATATCAGACAACTTAGGAAAGCATTTTCATTGAATTGGACCTTAATCAAAGTTCAGCATTAATGCTGAATGGTTTTGATACAAAAGCACAATAGATACAATTTCAGTAGACAGTTATGCAGTAGAGATTAGTAAATCAGTCAGGCATAAAGTCACGGCTAAAACGAGAGAATAATTTGCGTGTTTGTGCAGTGGAGTGGATCATTTTCAAAAATTCTTTAATGAAAGTATAAACACATCATCGCAAGGGAAAACATACTAATAAATTATATTTTGTTGGTGAAATCCATGTTCGGGATTATACTTTTTAAAGTTTATTTTAGATCGCTGTGCAACTGCATTTTCATAAGCGATCAATAATTATATTAAATTTGTGAAGTATCTATCAAACAACTAATAAAATTGATGCACATGTTGTATTATAATGACAATAAAGATGTATTAAGTTGCAGTTAGTTAAGTTAAAGATGTATTTAATGTGGTAACACACCTAAATTGAATTTAAAAAATTACTTTTGAAGAAGACTTTTACTTACTCATTTACACTTATCACCATCCTTCAAGGATGCTCGTTTCTGAACCTCTTAATTTTTATGCACAAATGTCCTTCCTGCATTTTATATGAACTGTAAACAAACCAACTAATAAAACATATTTTGATATTTCTGAAAGCTAGATGTGTACATAGCTGAAATCGCTAAAACATTGTCAACTTCTGGGGAGAGTGTATTCACGATGAACACCGATGGTTCAAATCTTCCTCTAAAACTACGCTTTTGTTAACTACTGTGTTCCTGTTATTTACTCAGAGGCAGTGGTTCGTTAAAAATGGTATTTGGTCCTCACTGAAGCTGAAGGGGTTTATACAGCTAAGATTTACTCATTTTTATAGCAAAAAATGCTCATTGAAACATTACATGTTCTCTATCCATACAAAGCATGTAAAGTAAGGGAAAGAGTGTTTTGGGCCAAGATATTTTAACATTTTCTGGAAGTGCTGAATTGCAGGGTTAATTATCTTGCATACAGAATTTCAAGTTTTACGCTGCCTGGAATGATTTGTGAAAAAATGAAATTTAAGGCATCCAAAAATTTGAAAGCTTTATTGAAAATAGGATTCTTATCAATATTGTTAAAAGTACATAAGCAATTTAAAAAAAAAAATTAAAGGAAAATCAACACTTTTGTGAAATATTTTGAAAATGGAACATGAACATAGGTAAAGTTAGTTACCTTAAAGCTCCACAAGGTCTCTGTGAAGTAAGATTCTTTTTTTGTAAGAAATACCAAACTTGAGTATTTTCTTAAGAAAAGTGAGCGAATAGTATATGGTTAAGTAACGAACCTAAAGAAATGTTAGTAAGTGTGAAACAGTGCAGGAAAATGTATTTTCTCAAACTCGAAAAACTGGGGAAAATAAGTTTAATTTCGCAAAGCTAAATTGCTGGTCAGCCTTGGTAAGAGGACGATGTTTTACTGAAGATCTGCATGTTAAAAGAATTTGTGTTCAGTTGGTTAATTACACTACATTTTTTTATTAATATTCTGGTAAAACCAAACTCCCAACCTGATGGAGAAAATGTGTGATGAGAAAAACTACATATGTAAGAAAAGAGAGGGATTTGTTCCTGGATTAAATTATGTTCCAATACTATTCAAACACTCTAAGACTGTGATTTGATTGACTCTCTTAATTTGATTGGAATTTGATTCATTCTCAATTATGAAATTGTAAATGAGAATTTGATAATTTTGTCCTTTTTTGTTGTTGTTGTTGTTGTTTGAGTTCTGAATATTTAAGTACAAAAGTTCATGTTTTGTTGTTTTTTTCTCCAGCCGGAAGGAACTGAGAAAGATGGTAGCACCAGTGAAAGTTCTTTAGAATCTTCAAGTGGGTATGGAAGCCAAACCATTCCAGTTGATGATGCAGCTCATAATGATGGTAAGGAAATAAAACATAGCATGCATGTGTAATACATACTTCCTTACTCTCCTCACTTTTGTGCATGCCATTCCTTACTTGAGAATGGATTTGGTACATTTACTTTGATCTAAAAGTATTATTAGAGTGAATCCTACTTTTAACTATGCTGTTTGCTTGATAAGTAAATTACACCACTGTTTGCCTGTTTTCAAATAATCATGTTTCTTAACGCATTGTGTTTGCACTTTCTGTGGGCTTCACAACAGCAATTAATTGTATTTTATAACAATGTATCTATCATTATAGTGGTGCCATTTGAAGATAAATTTCAAAGTTTCAAATATCCATTTGGTCCTGTAAATTATGAATCATTCCAACACTAATATGGTGATGTGCACTTCAGGGTTATTAAACTTTTTGCGACCATCTTATTCGATTAAGTGTCTCATTTCCTGAGTATGATACACGGAATTCATTTCCTTTAATGTTTTGCACTTGCAGACAAAGAGCATACTTTCCATGGAGGGTTAAAGTATTTTATTTTGGTTTGAAGTTGGAACTGAGGGAGTCGTATTTTCAAATAATTATATTTAAATTTGAAAATGTAGGTGAATCTTCATTCATTAGGAAATAAAATGATCAACAGTTTTACATAACCATAATGATATTATTCCTAAAATACATCTGCTGTTCACAGAATAGAGATATTGATTGTTTAATAGTTATTTATTTGAAAATCTTGGCACAAATGGGAAAAATTAACCAAGGCTTGAATATAAACTGCAACTGTTTATAAAGTTTCAGTTTAGAAAATATTTTTCAAAAAGTGTATATTTGTATTACAATGTGAATTTTTGTGTAATTTAAACTTCCTGAAGTGTGCACATTTCTTAAAGGTAAAATCATTTTATTCTTCCCAGTCTGATAGATCTCGTAGAGAAATTGGAGACATGTTTCAAATTTAAAGGTAGATTGAAGAAAGTATTGAATGTTGGAAATGTTTTGTGTGAAATAAAGAAGAGTTTAAGAGAATTAAATTATTTTAAAGGACAGTATAATTACTTTATTAACTGGTTTATCTTATATAAAAGTAATAATTCTGAATATGATAAGTGCTAAAATAGTTTAAATGTTAAATGATCTCTCTAAAGAGTGCAACATACCATTTTTTAATTAAAATGCATTTTCGTATTATTGAGGTTGATGCAGTCCTTTTTTAATTTGCACATATTACATTAGAATTTGCGTTCCCTCTCTTTACACCTTTATATTGTATTACTGTAGAATTTAGTACATTAACTGTAGATTTCAAAGTAGTAACTTCCATTTAAGTGTGTTGTGTGACTGGGAGTGTTGATCTCTTCCCTCCTTGTTTAGACATGTCGTTGAGTGTGTGTAACTTGGAAACTGCTAGCAAGTATTGCACGCTTCCCCGTTCAGGGGATGGAGCAGCCAATGGGGGTCCACGCAGGAGACCCGTATCAGCATCAGGTAATGTAGTGTGCTGTTTCCCCATTATTGCTTTACCTGTCATAATGTAATGTCCTCACTGCACTACACATTTGTGCTGCTAGATTACCCACTGTAGTATGGTAGCTGAATTGTGCATCATTAATTTTTGCATTGTTTGTCTTACAATTCATTTTTGTTTGAAAAATAAGATGTGCTAATTAATTTATTTTCAAATTGTTTCTTTCTTTTAATTTTTTATGGCCACAAATACATAGTTAATAAGGACATTAACTAGCGTTTTGCAGATTGAGGTAATGTGAATTTGTAAATGAATTGTAGTTGATTTATTAAAAATATATTCATTATATTGTCTTAAATCGTCAAATTGTTTGGCGAACCATAATGGTTTCATACTTGCAAGTTGTCACTTTTAAATCTCTGGAAAAATGTTCCAAATAGGAACAAAGACATTTGATTATAATATATTTGTATTAATTTGTATTGATTGTATATTATGCATTAGTGAGCAAATGAATGCCAAGTTAATGAAACTCATATTTGTTGAATGAATGATTATGTGGTTAAGTGGCTACCTAGGATTTCATAGTCTTTATTCCAGCTCATATGTCCTTATGATTTTGTCCCTATATTAATTACTGAACTATGTCTTTCTAGGTTATCCTCCTGGAACAATGAGGAACACTTTGTTGCGTCGAGGTTCAGTGCAAGGCCAAAAGCCTCCTCCACCGATTCGGAGGACATCATCAATTTCCAGCTCTGCCAGGCAGAGCACTTTGACCCCAGTGGGTGGAAGTCTTGAGAATCTCCCTCCTCCACCAGCTTTTCTGTTGGAGAATAGTACAAACAGTACTGAAAATCCTCCAGATTCATCAGATGAGAAGAGAACTATAAGTGTAGCCGAAACGGTACGCACATTGACGGAATTAAAGCATCAGCCAGCTAGCCCTAATGCTCTGAGGCGAAATAGCAGTGTGCGCTCACAGAGTGCTGATCGAAGGGGCCCTGAGACCAGTCCTGGCTCAGGCTTGATTGCTGCTTTGAGTGCTAAATTGAACCCAAATATGAGCCCTAGAAATTCTAGGCGTCATTCTGAAGATTTGAATCCTGGTGGAAGTTGCAGCAATAGGCTCATTCAAAGAGGCATTAGTGGGCCAGGGCAAGGCTTTTTGCAGACTCTGAACACTAAATTGGCTCTGCAACAGCAACAATTGCAGATGCATGGGCCCCAGCATAAAGCTGCAAGGATACGTCAGTTTATTGCTGCTCGTACTCTGCCAGATCCAGAGCTGTGTCATGAATCATTAATGGATCAGATAAAGCGAGGTACAACATTGAGGAGAACAGGAACTATCAATGATCGTTCAGCTCCAAAAATACGTTAACTTCATAATTAATTTCTACAAACAACAGAGATATTTACTTGAAGATATCTTTCTTCCTTAGAAAAATTCTTCTGAACCCATGTGTATGGTATTCAGAAATGAAAAAATTAACTCGTCTATGTCTACATGGAAAAATAATTCAAGAAAATAGAAAGCAGTTGTATGCTGTTGCAATCATGCTGCTGGATATTTAAGGAAGTTTCATGCAAACACAGAAACATAAAGTTATTATTTATGTTCTACCACTGACATATTCCATATTATTGCAATTTGCTGGATTAATATGTTACATCTGTAATCGAAGAGCTTCATTTGTGTTATTGTTGGTTTATTGCCGTGACTTTTGCTTCCCAGCAATAGTTGTATGGAAGTCAACATTCCACTGCAGGATACAGAAATTACTGCAAAGCAGTAAGTGGAGCCAGTATTTTCTTAATGAACTGGAAATGGTTGGCTCCACTTCTTATTGGTGTTTATACAACTCGTCTTCTCTACAGGCAGACAAGGTACTTCATTCATGCTTCAGAGATTAATGACTGTTGTGTACAGTGAGTGAAATGTTTAAATAATTGTATTTGAAATGCCTGAGAAGCCATCCTTGCCTCTCTTACATTATCTGTATTCAATTCATTGTATGGTGGGATTCTCACACTATATTATTTTCACCTGATTCAGAACTGTTGATAGATTTTCCAGACTCGAAATGAATCATATGTGTCTCTCAATCTTTCTTTCTTTCTAATAATGTGTATAGAAATATTCCTTTGTGCATATGGTTATTGCTTATATTGTAGTTTGTAACATGATAAAAAGCACTGCTGTATTATAATTAGCTGTTATGGTGTAATGTTTAGAAATTGTGCAACAAATCGGTCAAAGTTGTACCTCTGTTCTTTTATTTGTATCATTCTAGAAGTGTCATTTATTTCTATGCTTTAAATACTGGATCATAAAGTTCTTTTTTGAAGAATGGAATTTTGTAAATAAAGAATTTATTGGCTAATGAATAGGAGAGAATAGCATGAAGCTGGAGCTAGTCAGACTCGTATTGTAAAGACATTGCATATATCAAGAAATTTTGACTTTTTGAGCCATCTGCTAGGCAATATACTTGCAAAAGAGGATGTGAAAGTGTTCATTCACCATCAGTTCCTGCTCTGCTTAGTGTGAAACATCTGTTAATCTTTAACAATCAATAGAAGTACTTGTTAATAGAAAAATATATTGCATATTTTACACTTTCAAACTCCATAGTTTAATATTGTAATTACTTCTAGAATTAATCTGTATAATATAAGCAATTAGTTATATTACTTTCACTACTACTTTTCTTCTTCTCAATATTCTTAAAATCATCAGAAAAGTTAATATAGTGAGAGGGCCAAATGAAAAGTCTGACTTAGTAATAATTATAACTTAACTATAGATCTTTAGGCATTATCTAAGTTCCCTTACTTTTGAGCAATGTTTATATTTGAAACTTCATTTAAAATATTCTAGAATGACAGACTTGGAGTGAATCTTTGGACACTTGTAGTTAGATTGAAGGGTGGCATGTTGGCGAGATTTGCAGACACACTACAAATAATAATTTTTGTTATTTGTGTGAAACATTGTAAAATTACAAGGATCTTTTCAGGGCATTTCTTTCACATTTCATGATAGATTAGTTCTCTTTATTTTAGTTTGCTACATGCATTGATTTGTTTATGAGAAAAAGTAGTATCAGGAAATGAGAACAAAGATCATTCTTTCATGCATTATGAGTGTTCACTTTGAAACTGATGGTAGTGTGTAGACAGAAGTATGAAGTACTCTTGCCATGGTTATAACTTTTCTACCACACACATTTTTATACCAGATATTTTGTGGACTTCTATTGGTTCATATTTTGACAGTTTTTGATTCAACAATTGGCATATTGTGTCACTGCATTTCAGCAAGATGAAACATTTTGTTGAAAATATGATTTTATACTTGCTAAAGTTTGTATGGCAACTTGGAACTCTTTGAAACAGAAGAGTTTGCTAATGTTCAGTCAAGTTATTACTCTTGCAACTTCGCCAACAATTTTAACTTGTTATACATTTTTATACAGATCCAGTAGAGATATGTTCCTAGAGATGTCTGATGACTACAAACATATTACTGTAGAAAATATATTTTTTGTATACATCTTACAGTAGTATTTCCATACGTTGAATTGAAACTATGCGAAATATATGCAAGGACAGGTGGAATTTGTTTGAAGCTGTTGCAGTGTAGTACATAGTGTACAGGAAAGGTCTGTCCATAAGATGTGTGAACTGGCATTGTACATCAGTTTGTGAGTTTGAATATTAATATCAGAGTCCAAATATGACTTTTGAAACCAATTATCTACATTTAAGAGATTTAGCCTTTTGCATTTAAATGCCACATTCATGTTACAGTCTGTTTTGTCATTCTGTATTATTGAAACATGTATGTGTACCCCAAGAACACAAAACTTCAGGATTTCTGTGCACAAATAAGTTCTTTGTGTCAGAAGATTGTGTGTTCTAAAACTGACCCATTGTACTTCAGCTTCCATTTATCAGTTATCTTGTTCCCTACTTCTGCTGAGATCCATTTTGTGTCTGTATTGTTGGCCTATCTTTGAACATACTGTTTGAAGTGACAATAAAATTAAACTGAAATAATTTGTTCGTTTTCAAGTACTTCAGCATTGCAATTTTGCAACTTAAATCTGTCGGGTGAAAATTTCAATAGTAAATATTTAGTTAAGTTTTCTGTAGAGTGAAGGTGATTGCCTTTCTATTCATGTTGTGTAATAATGTTAACTGTAAAATCCCATTTGTGGCAAGTTACCACACTTTCTTGTATTCAGTGTTTGGACACAAGCCATTGTAAAATACGTTAATTATAGCACACCGTATCCCTTTCCCTAGTGTCCAAGGACACTTCAGTGTGTATTCAAGCCGTTGTAAAATTGTTATTGAAGTGAATTTGAAGTATCAGTATACAATAATCCAGTGTTTTGTATGCATATAGAGCAAACTTGTATCATATTACTTGTTTATCACAGTGATATGCATCTGTGAAACATGTTAATGCACATTAAACTCCAATCACCTTCACCCTATTATTTTACTTCAAATTGATGATAGAATTAACAAGTTGATGTTGTCTCTGGGTCTTTATGTACTAAAGAGGTATAACAAACATGGAATACATGCCACTTATTTAAGAGTTTTAGTTCTTATATTTGATTGTTAATACAGTTTGTAAGACATTTTGTAACAATATAATTTTGTGTACATTTAAGCTTTTGGTTCTTGTTTGTGGCTGTAAGGATGCATTAATGTATAAAGAATATTGTAGCCAAATAAATAGCTGTGTTTTTCAGAATTACCTGTGTGCCTTATTCTTGGTCCTATGGATTTGATTTTATCACTAAATATTGCAGTAAACTATATTGATTTTAAAATCAAATATCTTTAGAAATATCTCAATTCTGTTTTCTAGTTTATTAAAATATGAATTATTTTCAACAATATTTTATATAAAAATTGTTTTAAAAAAAATTAATTTCATTCCAAAAGAAAACTTTGTTTGTGATGCTGATGAGATGGACTAGTTGTTGACCTCGTGCCACACAAAACTAGTGGAGTGGAGATGGTTGCTGCTCCTGCACTTTTGCTTCTAGTAGTCAAAGCGAGTGGGCAGTGATGGACAACCTTGGTGTTGCTGCTAGAGTCTGCACACCATTTCTGAACGCTACGTAGGAAAATGCTGGGAGCCCTTTACTGCTACTCTCTTTATGAAAAGGCTTTGTAAGTATTATAACTTTTCATGAAAAACAGTTTTATTTTGATGAATTATTCTTAATATATCTGAGTGAGGTTTCTCGAATGCCACCACTTGATGAAGTAAATTAAACTGCAAATAAAATTATGAAAGGATCTATTACCGAGGAATATATTGCATTAGGAAAAAAACCTCTAGCTTCAATATGAAACGTATTGGTCAAATTCAAAGGAAAATAACTTGCAAATTGTGAAATTTCAGTGTTTTTTCAGTGCTGAGAGCTACTCTCTTTCCTGCTAAATTCTTCTGCAATATTTCCTCATTTAACTTTTGACAGGCCCTGAATAATAGCTGAGCAAAATTGTGCCCTGAAGCTCGGGTCACACCAGGGGCAATCCAGGATTGTCTTCACCTTTCAGCATTCTGGAGTGTTGTCAGGGACAGGAGGTGAAACAAGCAGTATGGTGCCTGTATATCTGATATGGAGTATCGTGTGTTGTAATGTTATATATATAGATAATGCTTTGCTCCCAGAGCTGATTTATTGCGTCGAGTTGTGTTTTGCATTTAGTGAAATGCTTCTAAACTAAACTTTTTTCTCGACTTATATGTAATAATTCATCCTAAATATTGTGTTTAATGGATTCTCATTTATAGACATTGTAATAAGTAGCTTACAGCAACATTATGATGGAGATTGCAACAAGTGTAAAAGTTATTCAAAAATAAATGTAAGTTTTTTTTTTTTTTTTTTTTTTTTTTTTTTTTTTTTTTTTTTTTTTTTTTTTTTTTTTTTTTTTTAATGTGAGAAATTCAGACATTTGTAATTCACTTTAAATTTGCTGTCATCCCAATACGACATAAGTGTGATGAGTGCATGTTCACAGAATGAATGGGGGAAGTTTGTTAGAAAGCTGCTGTGAAATTATGCTGCCATCCCAATTTGCTAGTTGCAGGGGCGATTAATTCCTATCTTAGTTTTGAGCGTTTTTTATTTATATATTTATCATAAAAACGGTTAAGAACTGTGTGATAGGCTATAAGAAGAAGTGTGTTCTATGCAAGTTTTCTTAATTCTGGAATCTATACCCTAAGCCATATACAAGTTGAATTCTGAATACAGAAGGAAATGAGCATTTTTGGCAAGAATTGATAAGAAAAAAATTATGTTACTGCTATGTTATAAAGCTTTAATTGTCCTGTCTTCTGTCTATATAAACGGCTCGCCTTATTTCTGACTTACTTAAGTTTTAAAGCATATTAAAAACACGGGACATTGTTGATATAAGACAGAGGCTAGTTGCAGGGGCGACTAGAGCGCATCGATTCTAAGTATAACAATTAAACAAGTGAACGTGTTAACACATCATAGTTTAAGAGAGAATGATATTGGAGTTTGTACAGTGAGGATCTATGGCCGTCAGGGCGTTTAGTAAAAATATTTTGTTTTTTGTTCGTGAGATATAGGAAGTGGTCATGTCCACGATTATCAGATATGTCCATTTGGAAATAAGTGAACTAAAACGGATTAGCGAAAAAAAAAATATAAACTTCGTCAGTCTGCGCAAATCACTGTGTACCAAGTGTAAACGTATGAAGTTGGAATTTAAGCGTGACGTCACAAACAAAGCTGGCTTCCAGCGCCTTATACAGACATTGGGCAGTATCGATAAGCGCCAGAAAAACAAAAATGTAATAGAATGTCTAAGAGTATCTCATTCTGTATATTAAGATGTGGGGAAAGTCCTTAAGTCCCAGTCTTCCCAAAGTTCTAGGTTTTAAGGTCCTAGAAAGCTTTGTTTAGGAGTTATTTAACTAAAGATTTTGACAAGGTTGAGTCTTGCATTTGACGTGAATATTTAGATGCGTTTTTTCAACAACACTACCACAAATGTCGGGAGCTTAGAGCTTGTTCCGGCTGGGGCAGTTCCCCGCTGGTGGGAGATCCCTGGTTGGAGAAAACCCGCTAGCCGACGGTAGGGCGGCGCCGGATCTCGCCATTCCCCTCCCCGAAGACCACCACCACCTCCCGAGGAAAAAATATGCTACACTTACGGGACTAATGATACCTGTAGTTGACGAGCCCCGAATCACAAACAACCAACCAACAAAGATGTGACATTCGATTTGTAAGACGCCTTCGACACAAAACTGCATAAATGTGTCACTGGGAATTAGTTATATGGGATGTATCAAACCTTTAAAACGAAAAACATATAATTGGAAGATAATGGTTAAAAGGTAGACATAGCATTTGCTATCGCCAATTTATCCCCCTTAACTCGGACACTGTAAAACCTTGTTTGCGCATCTCTCCACCACTATCTGAAATAAATAGTAAAAATGTTATATTGTTTTCAAAATTGATTTTTTCAAGCAACACTGTTATAAAGATGTTTTAATATCAAACATTCACATTCTTCACCCTTGACTACATAATGCATACAACTGAATTCTGTTGAAATATTGGAGGAATTATTTCAAGAACAATAGGCGAGCCGATTATTTATCAGTGTTGCAAATTAAAATTCTTTCCATATTCAAAATTTGGATGGAAGAAAATACCTCGGGTAATAGTTTTTGGTGAAAATAGATCATAACCAAGTTAAGGAAGAAATGTAACGTAGTTTCATTTTTTTAAAATCTCCTCTTTTTTAAACCGAAGCAGGTCTAAACAGGATGCCACAAATTTGGTCATAATCAGCATTTCCTCTGGAGTATTAGTGTCCCAGGAACTCGTATTTTGCAATTCGCGGCGTCAAGGACGATCGGAACTCTATACGTAACCTGCTCGGATGAGTGTGGTTTAAGATATAAAACAGATGCTCCTGCACAGATAATATTGTGTATTTCTATGATGGAAATTTCACGACTTTTAGTATGCTTGGTCATGGCCACGATATACTTCAAGACTGCAAATTGTAATGTAAGTATTGCCTAAATAATGTCAACTACCTATATCGTTTCTAAGCCTTTTGTTACAATAGAGACAGTTCCTTCGGAGACTGCAAACATTTTATACAGGATGATTCAAAAAATACTTTTACAATCTTCGGACACATGTTTCTTAAAAAAAAGACTAATCGTTCTTATGAACATGTGCCCTACAATCCTTCGTTATCTTGATATTAATTTATTAATGAATATTTACGCTCACTGCCATAGGTTTAGCCCCTCAACTTCATGCACTCATTCGTAGAGGGCTCGTTGTATTTTACGCAGATAGCGATGTGATGCCATGAAGTTTACATTTGTCGTTTGTGATTAGTCTGACTTCAGTGGTACATGTGGTGAGTTAACTACATTTCGTTCAAAGGTATTCAGGATATTCTTTACGTGATCAGGCAGATATGATTATGTATGGATGTGAGTCTGTACGGGTGTTGTTTGGTGTCAGATGGCGTTTCCCGACCGAAGACAGCCAAGTCATCCAAACTTTGGTGCTGTTTGTCATCGCGTTGCTGATAAAGGAACCATTGCACCATAGTAAATTGATCGAGGGAGACCAAGAGTTGCTCATACGTCTGACAATTAAGAACAAATTCTAGTGTATCCAGGTAGTAGCACAAGTGGCATATAGTACGTCTCAAAGTACGGCATGGAGTAAACTTCACGAGCAGCACCTGCATCTGTACTATCATCTTCAAAGTGTGCAGTGCCTTTCGCCTGCCGTTCACTAACCACGGGAAAACTTTTACCGATGGTTTGTACTACTAGCACAAACAGTCAATCCATTATTTGTCTCGTCAGTTTTGTTTTCAGACGAGTCAGCGTTTGGAAGAGATGGAATTACAAATTTTCATAACTAACACGTATGGGCAGATCGTAATCCTGGTTCAATAGTTCGGGTTAGACATCAGCAACAGTTCAGGATTAATATGAGCTGGAATTGTAGGTGACGGGTAGATCCATACGTATTCCCAGCACTTCTTATATACTGTCTTCAGGAACTTTTTTTTCAGAACACTCTCCCAGATATTCGACAGGATGTGCACCTGCGAATGCGACAAAACATGGGGTTTTTGCATGATGGGGCTCATGCATAGTTTTGCCTCATTGTTCGAGATGCTCTGAATGGTATCTACCGTGACGGATACGTAGAGGAGGACCGGTTCCATGGCCTGCACGTTCTCCCGACCTATGGATTTTGACTTTCTCGCCCTCACGTACGAATATGTAAGAAGAGAAAGTATTGTAATCATATTCTGGAAGACGGTGAATTTTCGACACAAAATTTCTAATTCCAGGGCCTTGATAACGATAAAGTGACCAAATCTTGTTCCTGTACATAGCATATTACTTCCTCTAACAGGGGTAGTCGGTATTTGCTTTGTGGATCCTTCATACCGAAAAATCGATTGTCGGCAAAACGTCTCTGTGCCTGCCTGCCCGTCCGATAGCGGTCAACGCTAGGGCGTAAAGCTTTCTGCCGATTATTTTCCAAAATTGATATATCCCAATCGATCTGGCTGGTATCGCGGGCCCTTGAATTTGAAACCGCCCTTTGATTTGGGGGAGTACTCTACATGTAGCTCCTGGAGCATTTACCAAATTTTCTCAAAAATGACACCAAATTTTTTTAATTGAACTCTGAGTGCAAAAGTGCAATGTTTCTTTCTTGCGTCTTCCTTCAGCTAAAATATTGAAGGCAATTTTTTTGCTTAATGAAATTCGATCTTTAAAGAAATGTTTTAAAATAGGGTCATGTACAATTTTTCGAAAATTTGAGTAATTTTGCATGAAATATAGGCAATTTTTTTTAACTTTTCTCAAAAACGGCGCCGAAGTTTTACTTTAAGTTTTCTCCTCAAAGGACAGTAAGAAAATTGGTGCTATTCTCATTTCCGGCAAAGCGTTAAAATTTTTGAAAATTGCAAAATTGTAATATTAAAAAACATTAAAATTGAGGATAGGGATTTTTTATTTAAACAATCTTTGAAAAAATCAGCTCTTTAAAAGAGGTCATGAAAAACTTTTTGGAAAAAAACGTAGGTTTGTGCATGACATGCAATTTAAAAAACTATTTTCTCAAAAACCAATTCACATACATTTTTCCCCCCGCGGATAGGACAAGATACGCTTAAAAGTATAGTACAGGCCTCATTTTGTTGATTTCTCCGTATTTTCTTCTCCGATTTTAAATCTGCAGTTATTTTTTCATTTTTTACTCGAACTGGTCCAGTTTTCATTAAAAGTACTAAATTTTATAAAATCGCTCATGTTCAACTTTATTGTTAAAGCGTCGGTAAGGTTATTATGTCAATTAGGCATTCAGTGTAATGGTTATGCTCATAGCTTGCTAAAATTAAGTACTTGAATTCAATTTTCAATGAGAGGACACATTTTGCGGGTTAAAGTAGTATTATAATATTACACAACCGACACAAATAATGTGATAAAGCACGTGCTGTTGTAGCACCACTAGTTACACAAAACTTCGTTGACGAGGTTCTATAACAGTGAGTAGTTCAAGATGCATGAAAAAGAAATGTTATTTACTTGTTTAATCCCTTATTTTAAATTATGGACAGCCACAATGATAAGTGCAAACAATTTTTTCACATAATAATTTTATTCACTTGTGTTACGTTTTGGAGACTGTTTTGTCTCCCTCATCAGGGAGACTGAAAATTTAATTATAAAATTTTTCATGAAGCCAAAATGATTTACACAAAATTACAAAAATAACAAATAAATTTATACTGTAGTCAGTTCCCAAAGTGTGGTTCTAACTTTTCGTAATAAATAGAATTATATTGTGACAACCATTTTAAAACTTAATCTTAATAAGAAATGTTGCACCATTCAGCTAAGCAATATGACTTCATTCCGTGCTCAAAATAATTTCAAATTTCGCTTTCAGATGGATAAGAAGTGGGACGAGGCAACGACAGATTGCGAAGACGAACTGCAAATAGACTCCAGTGAGTTATGTTCACATTTCACAAACATTTAATTTAAATGTTTATTAAACCAGCAAATCGAAAGGATTATGGGAGGATCTAGTGTTCGAGACATGACGGTGGCGGATTTGCATCTCAAGCTAAACAGCTTGGTCGAACTGAGCCTTTGTCTGGAGGAGAATTCTAGCGACCAACTGCTCTCGTCGTTCTTTCTACGATGCATTGTAGGTGAATGCCGGAGACGTACTCTTAACAAGCAGACCACAGACCGCGCACAATCTTTCCTTCTCTCAAGAAAAAGTGTTCTGGTTCATGGTGT